CAAAATACGAAAGTGTAACAAAATACGAAAGATAACTAAAAAGCAAGGGAAATAGAAGCAGTTTCTTTGCAGTAGGCAAAAAGAAACATCACCAGCAAAAATTCCCTGTAACAACAAATGTTGGTCTCGTTTGATTATAGTTACAGTACTATGTACATTGAAGGCCATATAGCCTTAATATTCAGATAATAACTAAGATTCAAGAACAGGGAGTCACTCAACTTTTGCACATCTAGTTTACAAATTTTTCTATCAAATTAAAATAGTTGTTCCCAAATTAAAGTATCAAACCCAAATTGTCTAACTAGTAAAAAAATGCATTAAGTAAATCTTACATTTGGAGAATATGAAAGATGAAAAAAATCTTAGAGAGTATTTTGTCCAACTCTTGCATTTTATAACTATAGAGTCAGGGGCCAAGAAGGATTTTGTGACTTGTAGAAAGCCCACCATTAATTGGAAACAGAAATGAGAATCATTTTTATTGCCTCATGCTTCCCAAAATACACCAGCTATCATTTTGGGAAATGGATTATGTAAAACAGTAGATACGTAGAAATACACCAGCTATTATTTTGGGAAATAGATTATGTAAAACAGTAGATATGTAGAAGTTTGCAAAACTATAAACATTTCTATGTTTTAAAAATATATTATTTATGAGGGCATACATAATCCAACAAAGGTTCACACTTGGTTTGTTCTACATTTCACTTTCAATTTAAACAACAAAACAGAAGCTGATGTTAATGGTAGCCAGGACAAATTTTTTATAACTGTATATACTGTTATTTTAAAAAAGAAGTTTTAAGGCAATTTATTTTATTTTATCTTTTTATTATTAGTTACATACAATGTATTATTTGTTTCAGGGGTATAGGTCTGTGATTCATCAGTCTTACACAACACACAGCGCTCACCACAACACATACCCTCCCCAATGTCCATCACCCAGGCACTCCATTCCCCCACCCCCCACTCCCCCAGTAACCCTCAGTTTGTTTCCTAAGATTAAGAGTCTCTTATGGTTTGTCTCCCTCTCTGGTTTCATCTTGTTTCATTTTTTTCCTCTCTTCCCCTATGATCCTCTGCCTTCTTTCTTTTTTTTTTAATTTTATTTTATTATGTTATGTTAATCACCATATATTACATCATTCATGTTTTTTTTAAAGATTTTATTTATTTATTTGACAGAGAGAGACACAGCGAGAGAGGGAACAGAAGCAGTGGGAGTGGGAGAGGGAGAAGCAGGCTTCCCGCCGAGCAGGGAGCCCGATGCAGGGCTCGATCCCAGGACCCTGGGATCATGACCTGAGCCGAAGGCAGATGCTTAACGACTGAGCCACTGAGGCACCCTGCATCATTCGTTTTTAATGTAGTTTTCCATGATTTATTGTTTGTGTCTGCCTTATTTCTTAAATTCCAGCTATCAGTGAGATCATATAATTGTCTTTCTCTGATTGAATTATTTTGCTTATCATAATACCCTCTAGTTCCATCCATCTCGTTGCAAATGGCAAGATTTCATTTTTGATGGCTGCATAATATTCCATTGTGTGGTTGTGGGTGTGTGTGTGTGTGTGTGTGTGTGTGTGTGTGTGTATGTGTATCTTCTTTATCCATTCATCTGCCGATGGACATTTGGGCTCTTTCCATAGTTTGGCTATTGTGGACATTGCTGCTATAAACATTGGGGTTACAGGTGCCCCTTTGGATCACATTTTTATCTTTGGGGTAAACACTCTGAACGCACCCAAACTCTTCTGATCTCAGAAGCTAAGCAGGGTTGGGCCTGGTAAGTACTTGGATGGGAAGCAATTTATTTTAAAACTATGCTAAACTGGACCATTTAAGCATCAAATAAAATTTAAGAAATTAGAAAAAAAAAATATCAAGAAGACCAGACCAAGGAAAGTTGTGATAATAGCTGATCAAATGAATTATATGGTTATTAGGAACAAAACTTTTCTCAAAAAGTTTCTAAAGTCCCTTCCTACTGAGAAATATATGGGTGAAATGAAATTGAAAATGTATTTTCCAATACAAAATAATACAAAAGGTAGATGAATATAGTTGAATTGATACACAAATACTTTGTAAGTTAAATACGAACATTTGAACTGATCCAGAAATTTTCCGGAAATCTACTACCTTTCTATATTATTTTTATTTTTAATATATAAGTATTTATATTTATGTAAATTATTTTATAGCTATTAATATTTATTATATATTAGTATGTATTTATTTATATTAGATTTTAAATTTTATATTGTGTATATTATATAATATATACAGTTGACCCTTGAACAACATGGGTTTGAACTACACAGGTCCACTTATATGTGGATTTTTTATAGTACAGGATTGTACAGGTATTTTCTTGTCCTTAATATTTAATAACACTTTTTCTCTGGTGTACTTTATTGTAAGAATACAGTATATCATGCATAGAACATACAAAAATATGTCAATTGACTGTTTATGTTATCAGTAAGTCTTCCAGTCAACAGTAAGCTACTAGTAGTTAAGTTTTTGAGCATCAAAAGTTAAATGAAGACTTTCGGCTGTGTGTGTTGGGAGAGATGAGGGGGTCAGCACCCCTAACTTGTGCACTGTTCAAGGGTCAGCTGTATATGTTTTATATATATGTGTGGTTATATGTGTGAAAAATAGTTGCCTTGTTCCCAAAAGGGTTTAAGATGGGTCGTAAGGATACAAAAACTGTAGGAGAACACAAATTTTAGAATAAAACTCCATTATAAGATTGTTCCTGTGCAGAACATGAAAGGTCCAAGTAATAAGCTGAAGACAAAAAGGAAGAAAGGAAAGGCAAGAAAAAGAGAGGGAAGAAGGAAGAAAAGAAAGGAGGGAGAAAAATGTATCTGAAAAACATACTATTTGCCATCTGGGATTGACTACAAACCTAACTCTAGGTCTGTCTTCAACATAAACTTTCATTTGCCAACACAGAGACAGCCATGGTTAATGTAAAAACAATTAATAGATTTTTCCAGCAGAGGTAAGCATTGACAGTCCAGATTAGCTCCTACAACAACATGTAAACCAAGACTCCCCAGAGCCTTGCGGATGGGAAATATATTAATATCAACTCGTTGACCACTCAAGCACCATGACATGAACTGTCTGTTCAGGAGGTCATTTCCAAAATGTATCCCATACATCTTCATGCACAAGAGATGATAATTTGTCACCTAGACATAGGGATCTACTGTAAACTAATCCAAACTGCTGATGATACACTAAATCAGTTTGAGTGATGAGTATAAATAAAGCTGCAAGCGAAGTACTGAAGGATACAGATCTATCTGATCAATGAGATGTCACAAGGCAAATGAAATGCAATGTTGACAAACATAGAGTCCCCTCAGTTGAGAATTAACCCAATCATGTATCAGAGCATAAAGGCACACATTAATATAAGTTTAATATAATAGGAGTTCGAGGGTATATTCTTTTTCAGATAAAACTGAAGAGACTGGGTCAGTAAGGGTGTATTAAAAATTGATGTACTTTTGCATACCACCAAAAAATTGACAGGCTAAAGAAAAACTTTGCAAAACAATAATCCTTTCCAAATAATATAACCAGAGTTATTCAATCTGCTGAGCAAATCCATACACACAGATGAGGAAAAACAATAAAATTTTTATACAGAAAGTGATTTCACATCAACTCGCTACCAGGAAATCAAATTCAATTTGTGTTGCCCTTATGAAAGCTTAGATATTTTCTGGAACTGTCACACTACAACTTCAGTGGGGAAAAATAAAGGATTGGGTATAGGAAGGACATTCCTCCAGAGAGTTGATATTCATGGAGGGCACTCCTTGAGAAAAAAGATTTTCCCACCTATGTGATCAGAATAGAGACTTCTATCAGCACCCGGCAAATAGGTTCAGTAGAATTCAGCTATTCTGAAGGGGTCCCGAATGGAAAGAGCTGATTAAAGTAAATTTAAACCCCTACTGGAACAAATCTGTAAGAATATTTTCTAAAGGGAAATTATTCTTCAACAAATTTATATATATTTTTCTTTGTTGTGTTAAGTATATGTAACTTTGTCATAACATATTTAACTCTTGCTTTGTATTTTATCTGTTAGTTTATTTTGGGTAAAGATTCAATTAAACTACTAAAATATGACCTAATCCCATATGTAGTTTATTTAAATTTCAAAATGAAAAGCTTACTAAGAACAGATAAGATTGATTGCTCTTTCTGTCTTAGCTTAATTGTATTTCAGGTGAACATCAATTTACTTTAAAGGACACTTCTAAGTAGCAGAATGCATCATAAATAATTCATCAATCACAGCTGCTAGAAACATGATTTACTTCAACAGATTCAATGGAATAAAAGTTCTATTCTTCTATATTTGTGTTTGCTTTAAAATGTTTAAGAATCCTCCTTGTTTAAGAATCACTCTTAGATTCCATACCTCATACTTTAAATGCAATATAACACTGCTTCTTTTTTCTTCTTTTATTTAAAACACTGTATTTCTAATTTTAAAAACATTTACGTATCTTAAGAACAAATAACAATTTATGCATATCAACAGTAAAACAACAACATAAAAGGCACATGTCTGAAAAACTGCATTAAGATTTTAAGTCTAACATAATTTATTTTCACTTTACATTAACTTTTATATCGAAGGAAAGAGAAGTAGTTTTTTAGAAAATCCTATGCCACTTATTTAGAATCTCACATATTTGAAAAATACTTCAATTTAAAAATGCATATTTAACAGATCTAAATTGCATAATAGTTCAAGTTTTACCAGTTGATACAGTGAGAATCCTATCTACCACTTTCATTTGTCATATGGAAAGACACGGCTTACCTTATTCATCCTAAAGTTTTCCATCAAATGCAGCAATTTTGTATTGACAATTTCTCAAGCTGTGAAATATCTTTAAAATAAATATATTGACAAGGAAAATGTAAGAAAAAATAGAAAGCATTTTACTCACTTGCAAACCCCTCTGAAATACTGAATGGCCCATAAAATTAGCCAGCATTCTAATTAGAGCAGCACCCTATAGGAAAGAGTACAAAAAAAAAAAAAAAAGAAAGAAAGAAAGAAAGAAAAGAAAAAGAAAAAGAAATTTCAGTCAAGTAATATGATTCTACAATTATCCTATATCAATTAAAAATGTCTGCTTCATTCATGCTGTTGTATTTTTAGAAATAGAAAAGAAACAAGAGAATCATGAATACAATATCCCATCTTACAGATAACAATTGAATTTTTTGTTTTGTGGATCTAAAAGTTCTGTGGATATAAAACCAGTGACTTCTGGCCAGTCTCCTGGACAGAGGGAGTATCTCAAGGCAATAATAAGCTGTAATTCAAGAGTAATAAAATTTTTATTGAACACCACCTATGACAGAGTTAATAAAACACGGTTCTTGTTCTTACAAGCTCATAATCTAGTAAGGGAGGGATACCCATGTTAATAAATAATCATATTAAAATAGAGCTTTGGAGTAACATAGCCACTCACTCTACCCGGGCTCAACTAAAAGTTGAGCTATAAAAGTGTAAAGTAAGGAATACCAAGTATTCGGACTGCGTGGGTTCAAATCCTGGCTCTGACGCTTATCTTGCCATGTTTACTCAAGAAAATCATTTAACCTTTCTGTTCCTCACTTGTCCCACCTTGTAAAGTGTAGGCAATACTGGGGCTTATGTAATGTAATTGTTCTGAAGCTTACATGTAAGGCAAACTGGGTCTGAACAACAGTTAGCTGTGATATGAGTATTAGCTCTCAGTATTAGATCGGGCTAATTGTTTTAATTTCCTATCTACTTCGTTTAGAGGCTGGATGTAGCCATATGTCCAGGAAAAACATGTGATCGATATAAATATTTAGAATAATAGAAGAAAATACTAGTTTAAGAGTTTACCTCACCTATAACAGTTATTATAATACTGTGGAGCAATATCAGTGAGAAAGGATAGACATGTACTCAATATGAAACATTCCAAATGATGATGAAGCCTGGATAATCACAAATTTGTGTGTGAAATATAAATAAGACTTCAAGAACATGTTTCAGTCTGCACTAGGTTGTTTTAGGTATGAAGCAATGGGTTACAAGCAGCAAAAGTATAAATATAAATGATAGCCTGGTTTTAGGGGGAAAAAAATCCCTTGACGACTACATACGCCACTTCATCCTTATTACAAATTCACACCCTCCAACAACTCATTTCTTACTCGTCATTTGTTTTTTATAAGAGAATCACAAGAACCACACATGGATTCATCCTGCCGGGAACTGAACTGTGGCAGTCGGTCCAGTAACAAAAATGAATTTCTATTGTTTGTTAAAAATTGTTTCCTCTAACTCTGGAATTTTAATGCAATCCAGTACTCAGCTCCATGAATTGCCATTAAAGAAATGTCTCAAAAAATTTCAATCATCACCAAAAATGCTCCCAAAATTGGTGTTTTATTCATAGCTCAATAAATGATAAGCTGGACAAGCCATAAAGTTTTATGCCTCTTCTGATGTATTTTCCTCCCACACCTTCTACTCTTTGCTCTTTCTTTTGCTTCCTCCTCTTTATCTTCTGCACACTTGTGTAAGTCCATAAAACATAAGCATTTATGATTCAATCAGAGGACCAGGTTAGAATTCCCTCTAGAACTTATCAGCTCTGCTCCTTGAATTTCCTTGACAAGCTCTCCTCCTATACATTTCCCAGTCTAATCTACCCACCCAGAGGGTAGAAACTGTCAGTTCTGCAGCGAAACTAACCCTTGCCACTTGGGAAGTGAAACTTAGAATCTCAAGCAGTCAACTCAAACTTTCCTTCAGAACAGAATAGTCATCTTCAGATGATTTGTTTCCCTCCAGGTAATGATGACTTGGTCTCTTGTCAGGCTACAAAAACTATCAATTTAGCATGGTCTAATGGCAAAAGAGTTCTTTCTAATCATAAAGAATGTACCCGTTTTCCTGTCTGGGTTGAGTGCTAACAGGAAATAAAACCTAGAAATCTAATCAATATTTAAAAGTTATATAATACCACTGGACTTATTTTATTATTATACTGTGTAATTTAGTTAACTTTTAGAAAATATGTCTGTGTTGCCCACTTGTGCATTTAAAATTCTCCGGAGTAGCATGCACTTTTCTATATTTAACTAGCCTTTTCTTTCCAGAGCTAAATTTTGAAAATCCCTATATCATAGAACTGCAGAGACAGATGGGCTCTCCAACTGTTATCATTCAGCCAACATACACTGAGCACCTACTAGGTATGGATTATAATAAGGATCATACCTCTTAATGCAGGCATAACTCACCACAAACCTTTTTTTTTTAAAGAAAACACCAAATCCCCTTGCAGCTTGTCTTTAAAACCAAGCAAATACCATTTAAAATATTGTAACTTATATTCACCTGTGATTCAGAATTCTAGACCCATTCAAACAAAATGGATGTTAGACAGCCTAAGTAGATTTATGGGAAATAAATACACTATTTCTGCAAGATTTTTTTATAATTTTAAGACTTGCTCAAGAAAAGCCGTCACTGTGTTTGCTATACTAAGGTTCAGGGAGATATAAGGATGGAAGCTACTGATTTCTTTTAAGGTTTCAGAAAGAATATTCCAAAAAAGTATGCTTATAAACCCATTCCTCACGTAGTAATTCTCCTATGTGGAGTATTTTTTTCATATAAGTGCTCAGCTAAAATTTCTTTCATTTGACATTGTACTCATCTGTATGCATGCCAGTCTTATAGACATCTCCAGAGAAAGGACTGTGTCCTCATGATTTGGTACCCCTGCTGCCTTTGCCTGGCTCAGAGAAGGTGCTCTCTTAACATTATAACTGCATGAGAGAGAAAGCAAAATTAGTAAAAGTACAGCAATTACTTTGTATTCTTGAAGACTGCTCAGCCAGAATACACATTTTATTACTTTATCAGTGTACTTTAGTGATAAGTAATCACTTTGGAAGAGAGGAAGATCTTCTCAACTAATTTATTCCTTTAACATACGCTTATTGAGTAAGGCAGTGTACTCGGTATCCTGTAGAATACAAATAAGAACGCCATAAGTTTCTGTCCTCAAGGACCTCAAAGCCTCTTAAGTGGATGAGAAGATACAATATATTATATGATGAATAACAAAGAAATAATAATACTCTATTGTGTTTCAGAAGGGGTAAAGTTCTCATATCTGGAGGGATGAAGGATAAAGGGGAATCTAAAAACATGATGTTTGGGTTGGACCTTGAAGGATGGACGGGGTTCCGGGAGCAAAGTTAAACAGAGAGTATGGTATGGCAAATGGCCTTTGTATGGTCATGCAGGTGTGAAAGTGAGAAGCACAAGTAGGGAAGGTGGTACTGAGGGACAAAGGGTATAAACCCAGGCAACAGAAGATTTGATGGAATATAAGATTTCAGCAGTCGTTAGAGAAAAGTGAATACCAAGGCTAGGAATTAGATCTTATTTAGAAGATGAGAAAGGATTTTGGAGGGTGGTTTTAAAAATACAGTTGACCCTTGAACAACACAGATTTGAACTGCACAAGTCCACCTACATGCAGTTTTTTTTTTCAGTAAGTATAGTGTGGTTCTATAAATGTGTTTTCTCTCCTTTATGATTTTAATAACATAGTATTCTCTTACTTTACTATAAGAAAATAGACTATAATACATAATAGCATACAAAATATGTGCTAATTGACAATTTATGTTATGGGTAAGATTTCCAGTCAACAGTAGGCTGTTAATTGGGGCGCCTGGGTGGCTCAGTCTTTAAAAGTCTGCCTTCGGCTCAGGTCATGATCCCAGGGTCCTGGGATCGAGCCCCACATTGGGCTCCCTGCTCAGCAGGAGGCCGGCTTCTCCCTCTCCCTCTCCCACTCCCCCTGCTTGTGTTCCCTCTCTGTCTCTCCCTCTCTAATGAATATATAAAATCTTTAAAAAAAACAGTAGGCTGTTAATAGTTACGTTTTGGGGTATTCAAAGTTATACATGGGTTTTTGCATAGGGTGTCAGTGCCCCTAATCCCTGCATTGTTCAAGGGCAAGTGACTTATCTATGATACTCCAAGAAGGAAGTAAAAGAACTAGAAGCAGAAGGAAATAATGGTCACAATAAGGATAAACCAGAGATCAGTTTAAGGAATAGGACAAAGATCACTTTAAACCTTAAAGTTTCAGTGACTAGAAGATGATACTAGCAGATATATAGAATTTAAAAGAAAGAGTTAGGTGAATATGGTAACATCCATTTAAAACATGTGGAGTTTGAGGAACAGGTAGGGAACCAGAAGAATAGAAAGCATATGTGACCACAGGAATGAAATTCAGTGGCAGGTTATGACTGAAGACCTAAATTAGCATTTGTAGTGGAATATTCTTTTTGAAACCTAATGCTAAGAGAAAAGCATTGAGGTTTTAGTGAAGGAGAGAGAAAACAGAATTTTAGACTCTCTCTCCAGAGTCGTATGATCTGCACTTGAGTGTCCATAATAGGTACCCAATAAATAACTGCTGAGAAAATCAGTGAAGAAATGGAAGTAAGAGCAAAAGATGACACATTGTGATAAAAAAAACAGAAGTAGCACTGGGTATAAGTAGTGTCATGTTTTAAGACATGTTTTAAGAATAAGTGCTTCAGATTTCAAGGGAAAAAACAGCTGACAGGGCCACAGTAGGTCACATTTAAGAGAGAGCTATTTAAGTAGACTTGGTGTGAAAGCCAGATTGAAAAACAATGGAAACAGAAGGAAGAAAGAAAAAGCAATAAGCATGTCCACATGAGGTTTGTTTGTATTTTTCTTTGTAAGATTATGGGAGAAAATTTTATGCAAAGAAAAAGATGATCTAGTGGAGACAGAGAGTGGACACACAGTAGATCAAGAGATAGTTTTTGGACCAGGATTCTAGGATAGCTAGGTAAGAAAAGAATTACAGTTAGTATTAGAAATCAATAAGGACAATCTTCCTATGAGACAGGACTAAGAAGAAAAGGGAAGCAGAGATAAGACATTTTGAATTATATAACA